ACTGATTTTTATATTCGGTGACATGCAAAAGCTCAGTAAAATATCATGATGAATCACACTAAATATCCAATAGGGTTGAAGTGTCCACATTGTTTGGAAATTGCTTCTATCATTTACAGTCAGGGTTAATGACCCTCAAATAGAATAGGAAAGACCATCTATATGCAATTGGTTTTAGTAAGCATTGTGAATAAAGTTCCAAACTAGCGAGAAACAAGCTCTAGCCAAAGATTTGTGAAACTTTCTACAGAAAGGTAAGAATATAATTTTCTACAATAGCGATGATTAAACATAATTATTTACATAGATATTTTAGAAGTAAACTGTAGTGAAGAAGATCAGTTTATAAAACTAAACATGAAAATTAAATTATTGTATATTATTTAGAGATTTCAATAAGTTTTTTTCTAGAGAAAATAGGTGTAAAAGTATGCTATAATATATAATAATTATATAAATGAAAACTACTGAATTAACTATAGGTGTTATTCATATAAAATTTCAGAAAATGCAAAAAGTACTTCATGCAAGTTAAATATATACTACTGTACATTGAATGTGTTAGTAACACTATCTACCTATATAATCACAATTCGCCTTTGTAAAACACATGAAATACAATTAAATATATAAATGATAACTATAAATATAAATTGAGACAAGTTAAAATTTGTATGCAGTCCTTTGGAAATATGTTAACACTGTCCACCTATAGAAACATCATTCGACTTTGTAGAAACATACATTGTTAATATTTGTTTCAGTCTCATTAAGTATGTGATTTAACTAATACATATCAATGGTATCTGCTTAAAAGCTATTGGGGTATATTCAAAGTTTAACTCATTTGAAAATGTAAAATATATAATATGCTTGAATGCTTTATTCATTATAGAGTAAAATTATGATCTACTATTTTAAATTTATTTTCTGAGAAATATCTGCCTGGTTCAGGTATTAACATATATAAGTGAAAACTAAAATGTTGATGATGTAATCATATGATGTAACCCTTCTCCTAGCAATGCGTCCTCATCAACCTGCTCTCTGTTGCCAGATAACTTTCACCCCTCAAAATATATTAACAAATAATGCTGATAACGTAATCATATGATGTCACCCCTCTCTTCTAGCTTCTCTTCCCTACAAATGCCTCCTCTGGTGTTGATTGGGTAATATATTATATCACTCTTCTCTCAGCAACCCGCCCTCTGGTGGCAGAGAACTTCCATCTGTCAAGCGGGATTCTAGCTATTCAAGTAGTATGAAAAAACAAGACCAGCAAAAATATTTTGTATTGAAGAAACACGTATTTGTTTTTTTATTTTCTAAAAGGAAAAACGTCTCATTGTACTGTGTACTGTAATTTTGCTTACACGTATCTCCAAAGTACAAGAAAGCAACGTCCTTCAACAAAAGCAAAAACAATTTCACGAGTGATAAACTGAAACCTACATGTATTTATGTTTGATTTTAGACAGGAATCTCTTGTTTGTAATGCAAACAACAACACCTGTAATGCTGATAGAATATATTATAAAACTTAAAACTACTGAAAGTTTGGTCAGATTGAGGAAACTGATGGATATAATTTAGTGATTTTTATGTGATAAGAGCATTGTTTAATGATTACTAAGTATCTGGTTGTTTTTCAGCATTTTTCGAAAATTGTTCAGTGATTATTTTGATAGGTTTACTCTTGATTTTCAATGACTGTACTTTTACAAGCTAGTTTTAGAACGATAGAA